GCTGCTGCTGCTGTCGCGGCTTCTTATCATCGTCCCCTGCGTTCTGCTTCTTGTTCTTGCCCTTGCCTTCGTCGCCTCCGTACTTTTCGAGGAGCTCCAGGGTGGAGTTGTACTTTGTGGCGTCCTTGAGCTTCTGGATCGTCTTTGCGCGCTCGGCCTGCTGCTCCTTGAGGCGAGCGGATAGAGAATCGATGCGGTAGTTGAACACGGCCGTGACGGTTGTTCGCGTGAGGTAGATGCTGAGGAGGGCATGGTCAGTGTCTCATGTTCGCGCAGCCAGATTTCCATGAGAGAGGTAGAAGAACAACGTACAGGAGAGGGCCTCCAGCGACGCCAGTCCATTCTGAGGCGCCCATGTCGTTCCATCCTACCACGAGGAAGATGACGATGGAGTAGACGAGGTAGGCAAAGGCGAGGTACAAGGACCAGAGCACTCTGATGCGACGGGAGGTGGCGCGCGCGCCATCGAGTCTCGCTTGGGTGTCTGTGATCTTGGTAGACAGCGCAGAAAGGGTCTTCTCGAAGGAGGCGGGGGAGGAGTCGTCACGCTGTGAATCGGAAAGTCAGCGGTTCATCCGGTCCATTACAGAAAGCGCGCATCATGCGCATAATGAGAGGAGGTCCTAGGTCGTGGCTGACGTACCCTCCAGGGCCAGAAGGAGACCATGGCGAAAGATGATGCGGACACGTGCCGTGCTCAAAGCGGCATGGCCCAATTCGAGGGACCGTAGCAGAAAAGACAGGGGAGAAGCGCAAGTCAAACAAAATGGAGTATGAAGAATCGCGGCGGATGCAATGTTATGCGCAGTGGGAGATCGGACGAGCAGCGCCGCCGTATGTGTGGTCCTCGTGGCAGCTGTGGTCGGCGGGAAGAGGTGCGGGATCGGGGAGGTCGAGAGGCTGAGGTGGTGATGGCCTGGGAGGGGAGGAGCTTTCGTGACACAAATGGTCCACCTTAGGTCTGGTGTCCACCTCAGGCAGTTGGACAGCTGTTAGGTTATGACGCAGCCTCCCAGGGCACCAGCGAACAGCTGTCCCCGGCGCTGAATGAGGAAACAGTGGGCCCGAGCTCTCCCTGCCACCACTAACATAGAGCTGTTTTAGCGTCCTGACAGCTCCGGGATCAAGCCTCAGCTGTCCTGTGGAATATCAGCCTCAAGGACCTCACCTTAATTAAGATACATGAAGGGTGATAAAACACCATTAAGTGGTAGCCTCAACAACAAAACTGCTTAGAGTCAAACACATCCGGTCTATCTATGGTGGAAATATTGGGCTTCTAAGTGAGACGCTGGTTCTGGGAATATCAATATCCGTAATACATATAATGAGCCTCAATTGTTTCTCAAGAGTTACGTGATCAACGAATATCGATAGAAAATCTGACAAGGAAAGCCAGCGAAGAGGTGGAAAACAACTAAGCAATAATGCTCCGCAGTCAATCTTCACAGAGACTTCATGTACACTCAGTCTACACTTTTCTTGAACCGAACTGTGGCCATGTCTCATGCTCGCTTGAGAAGCTGCCTTCGTACAACAAGGACCAAGGTAAGGTAGAAACAAAACATGAACCAAGCACCGAGGCTCGGGATAAGATGCGTTCAGATGAGACTGAAGTTCGCTGCTAAGAGCATAGGCTACTAGCCATAATCAAATAACCCATAATGTTCCCTCACGATCTCGCAGTGACGTGGCCTCAAAGAAAAGAAAACAAAGTAGCATCAGGCTGGAGGCAACTGACCAATGCGATAAAAGTTGACTTGAGTCCTCGATATATCTTGAACCCGAAACAGACTCTCATGTTGTGTGATCAAAATCGAAAGCTAGACGACGAAATCACTATTGAGAATGAATGAGTCCACTGAAAGACTTACAATGACCATCGTTAGTCTCTCATTCGAAGTCAACTTCAACGACCAATCAAGCCAGAAACCATCTCCCAACTCTAGTATGGCCGAATTACTCGGATGCTTCAATGTCCAAGATGTGCCATAGGAGTATCGAAGGACTCTAAGATTTTCCATATGGGATCTCCCGTACCAGCCAGCAGATTATACGGAGAACTACCAAGCTCGCGAACCTCACCTCAAGTATCGAGCACAAACGAATATAAATCTCATGGGCAACTTGACTATCTACTCTTTCCATCACCACCACCCAACATCACCACGGCCTCAACCTACCTTATACCGCCCTACCCAACAACATCCCACCCCTGCATCAAAACCTCCGCCTCAATAACCCCAACCAACCTCCTAAGCACCCCCAAAACCTCCTCATTACAAAAAACCTCCACAAGCCCGTCACAACTCAACCCCCTCAACCGCTCCCTGACGACCCTAACAACAGCGACCTCCCTCTTCCTTCCCCCCTCCCCTCCCTCAAACGGCTCCTCCAACGCCTCCGCCAACGCAGCCTCAAAGTTCTCCCTTACAAGCGGTCCGATCTGTCGTTCTAGAGAAGTGAGGACCTGTCGACGGATCTCGTCTACCAGACGCGCGCGTTCGAGGGACAAGGTCTCGGTGACTGTTTGCGTTACGAGGGCGCGGAGGGCGGCGTGGGGGTGGGTTTCTGGGGTTGTGTTCTTCATGTGGATGTCGCCGTCCATGTCGATGCTGCGGTGCGAGGAACCCGAGGAGGTGACGGCGGGGGGTTGGGGCAGGATGATGCGCTTGCGGGGTGTGCTGTGGTTACTTTCTGGAGTTTTGAAGTCCTGGGAAGGGCTGCTGCTGCTGCTGCTACTGCTACGTGGTGAATGCGTCTTGGGGGTTCGTGGACGACGGCATGGCGTTGGTGTTGATGGGCGGGAGGCGACGTGCTCTGCGGGACGGTTATTCTGTTCGGCTTGTAGCTCTGCGAAGATCTCTGCTGAGGAGCGAGGGCGGAGGCTGGGTTTCTTTCCACGGGTGAGGGTGGAGGTGAAGGGTGGGAGGGCCTTGCGGTGCGTACCTTGGCTCATGTCGATGTAGAATGGGTTTGTCTCTAAGAGGACGGCAGGGCGGTGGGCGGGCGCTGGAGGGCGTTCTGCGTTGGGGTTACTAGAGGGCATGATAGGCCTATTTGATCTAGATGTTGTGAGTAGTTTGAATGTCTTGGAAAGGTTCTCGTCATGGTGAGCTCTTTCTGGCGATGATGGAATAGCAAGTGCTGGTGGCCTAGTCGCCAGCAAGGTTGATATATGTCGCGAGCTTCGCAGCTGCTGGAATTTGTGAGCCTCGTCGTGAGTCACCATAGATTCAGAGTATGTCGATAGTCACTACAGTCAAGATGAGGCAGAAACCACGCCAAGAGACAATCACTCGGCGATGAGTGAGCATCCCGGACTCATTAAGCCACTCCAGATCGATCTGTCAAGACATCCACAACACAACCATGGCTGTCCGAGTCGTTCCCAACTAGGGCAACCTGCGCAGCCGAGGGTTCGCGTCACAATTGACAGACAAAACTATGCAATTCTGGACAAAGACACAACGAAACAAAAAGGGCATGCATGTCTTGACTCGTCACAAACCGTTACAACTGTGTCGCCAAACGTGCCTTGCGCGCCAACAACGTGCCAATGTGCGCGAGCTGCACGTCCTGCAGACCGACGTGGAGTGCTAGCCCCCCTCTCATCGCCACATCAAAGTTCTCCACGGTAAGCGACGTTAGGGCGCTAGGAGGGGATGTGGGCATGTCAAATTGACAGGCAAACATTGTGGAGGGCCCCTGGAGGGGAGAGCAAACTTCCAGCAAGATGCGGATACAAACAGCCCGTCACATTCGCGCCGTTGGAAAGCATGTGCTTGTGACTGGATGTTGACAGGGGAGGAACAACAAGAGGAGAGGTAAAGGAGGAGGAAAAAGCAATTCTCCTGCAAGAAAAGGGACGAACCGAGACCATGCGAACCACACTCTGCCTCTGTACGGATAGTTGCGCGCAAGTTGAAAGTCTGCCTCTGCCACTCTGCGGCCTGCCAGCGGTGCCAGTAGCCAACTCCAGCTGCAAAAATAGTCCGCTCAAGGTTAAACCCCGCCTTATTTCCTCTCAAGACTCCAAGAGAGGTTTAGCTTCTCGGAGGACAAGAGCTGCAGGGTCCTCTTCCTACCACCTCAGCTCCTCAAACTAAGGCAGCAGGGTAGGTAGTCACGTAGTATAGGGTTGAGTTGTCATGTACGAAGTACTCCGTACGGGATACTGATATGCGCGTTTGCTGCTCAGAGGCACAGTACAGCACAGATCCTGCAGGTAGACCGCCCGGGAGGCCCTCCGCGAGTGCGTTGCGCCGGCCGCCGCGATGTGCAGGTCGTGTCTTAGGGAACGGGACGAGTATGCGCGCCGGTTCTTTGCTGATTTTCTTGCTGCACTTTTTTCCGTTTTTTCTTCTCGGGGGGTCGGACTGTCGTATGGTAACAAATGAATGCCAACCGTCGTTGCAACTCTGGGTAAGTGATCCGCCGAACACGGAAGATGCTGGTGCTCTTTTCGGGCTCTTGGTATTTCTTCAATCGGCGAACGGTGGAGGGCGAACCGGGACCACCGGACCGCGCAATCTCTTGTCCTTTACGCAAGTGGGGAAAAAAAAGGCGAGACACAGAGAGAATCGTATTCCCGAGGGTCCAGGTCCCGTTAGTGTACTCCGTAGACGGCGAGCGGAATTATCGAGATCTGGATGCGGTTGAAGCCCGGGCGGAAAGGGGGTCGGCGGCTGATTGAGGGCCGATGGCAGGACGATACAGTCCACACGCGATCCGTTGGTCCGCATGGCGCAAAGGTGTCTCGCGGTCGGAGGTCTGCAATGTACCCGCTGGTCGCATGTATCGAATTTATTTGAATCAATTCGGATCAACAGCAAAGTGTCCTCGAAGCGGCAGGCAAGCCGCAGGCCGCAAAGCAGTGAGTCGGGAGGGTTGGATGGAGGACCTGGGAGGAGCTGCGTGAAATAGGACTTGGCCAGTGGTCTAGACGTCACTCGGTTCGCAGATGCTGCCCATTGTAGTTGCTGTCACTGCCTCTCAAGTTACAAGTGAATTGTGAGTTTTGACGTTGTATTCCCTCGGCGGAGAGGTACTGCGCAGAAAGGGAGAGAGTGCGACATGATGTGCAGACGGTGACTAGGCCCGCGAGATTGGGGGGTTTCATGGTGGACGAAAGCTGGAGAGCTGTGCGTGTAAGTGAGGAGAAGCGAGCACGTAGGCACCGTAGGATGCGCGGGAATGCAGGGAACAGGGCGATCCGTAGCGGCGATCAGCACTGTCAAGTTGTCGACTGTGTTGGAGTCTATGTGATGCTTGCTGTACAAGTGAGTGTGAGTGTTGTTGAAATGCCATGTTGCTTGGGCAGAGATGGGTGTCGGCCAAACGAACAGCAGGGACACTATCATTACCAGAGCAAGTACGGATAGCTTCAGCTCATTGCAAAGTGTTATTGTCGCAAGCTTTCTGTGGCATCTGCGCTTGCACATGTCAACTCCCCATGATCAATGATGATCCATGGAAGATGGTATCCACTGGGATGCCGTCACCACAAGGCCCAAAAGTGACATGCTGCTGACCTGCTCGGTTCGGATAAATTAAGAACAGAAAAAGAAAGGGAGAAAAAAAAAAAAGAGGAAACAGACAAGGACCAGGAAGAGAGGGAGGGAGGGAGAGAGAGAGAGAGAGATTGGAGATTGGATGAGATGTTGTTGTCATAATCAAAGATGAAAATGTTACGAGAAGACGGCCACTTTGAAAATTCAACAGCAGCACGGGAACAGTCGGGAGGACCATGGTCATGTATTTCACCGTACAATTACTGCGGTGACGATACTTGATGACTACTCGCACGCACGTCGCTCGTCCCATTGGCTCCGGTCTGGGCCGAGCGGGTCCTCCCCTGCCCTGGGGCGGTTGGTTCCTGCCTCGTTCGATTCCCCCAGCGGATGGGCTGTTTGTCAATTTTGGCAGCGACGTTCGACACTGCACGAAAATCAGACCACCTGCCTCCACTGCACAGCATTCACCGCACACCGCACACCCCCATCCTCTTCCTACACCCCCTCCCTTCCTCCCTTCTCACCACCAAACAGCAACAATCACAGAGCTACAGCCTACGGAGTATACCATCATCAACACTGAACACTCCAATACGCAGTACACCATTGACCATCGACCATCCACCATACCTTACGGATACTCCATCGTCCACCACCCATCATATCGACACTTCATCTCTTAACCTTGGAACCAACACTCGCCAGTGCTGCATCGGCGCATTGCTGCCCCTTCATGTCCCGCCATGCGCCCATTATGCGCTCCATAGACCTCCAACGTGCCATCCCACAACCAAGGAACCCATCAGACTCAGCCTTAGCGAACTTGGCAATCTTCCCAGGCCCTTCGACAGTATCAATCTCTCCATTGGTCTCCTTACTCGTGTTGCTGTCTGCCGTGCCTCTTGCGTTGAGTTCCGACGATGCGTGCGATGCGAGGCAGTGCGAAGCGATTACGGATGACTCGTTGCATTACCACCGCCGTCATCCGTCAGACTTGAATTACCGTTGCCGGAGACCGGCGGGCCCTTGCTGTTTCCAGGACATCCAACGCCCTGGACGCGAATCCTGTACGCTTCGGCTCCGTGACTCGGCATCCTCGGGCCTTGACTGAGCAACACCTCGGTCGCAAACGTCCGCTGCTCTCTCAGCTCTGCCAACAGCCAACTCTTGGATTTTTCTTGCCTCGCCCAATAGTAGCCGGGCAGTGAGAATATCTACCTTTGCCAGGTATTCACGCAGTAGGCAAAGTATCTTGCTCATTCCGAGTGAAGAATACTGGCAGCCGCAATCAGTGTTGGAGTGCTCGGCAGCATCAGAAGCCGACCACTCGGAACGACTGGGGACTCGGGAGGGACATGACCGCCAGTACAGCGCAAATCATCGACGTGTCTCTTGCCTCTTGGGTCGAGTGGCCGGCACGCCTCGAGGCATGGCGATGCGCCCGACAAAAGCTTCGAATCCTTCTCCTTCCCCCTCCTTGTTCGAGGGCCGACGAGACCGGCGACACGGCATGCCAGGGAAGTGGAATCCAGCTACCTACCTGTCACTACCTACGTACCTATTCGTATGGATACCTACATTAGGTGTCGGGCTGTTAGTGCCATAGGGGCCAAGTCTCACTCAGTGTGGGTGGGAGGGACCCTGGAGATCTCGATCGTCTTCTGCCTGCCGCGGGCCACCTGTCAAACGGTCACCCACAGGAACAGGAACGAGAGGCAACGGCCGCCAGGAGGTAGTGACAGCTTCAACAGACTGTCGTCTACGATGTAGTCACAGACCCCCGAGGTCCTGTCTTGACCGTCGACAAGATAGCGAGCAACGACGTCAGCCATGATCCCATCAGTAGTCTAGGGAGCAGCACTGTCCAGGATGTCGTTATGCACGTCAGGAAAATAACATTTCTACTACGTAGCTGCCTGCTTGTTTTGCCTGCCTGGATACACGATAATCGCCAATGGCCTCAAAAGCTCCAACAAGATCTACCTTTTCCATCCAATCTGTCAGTCTGGACCGGCCCCATGCGCCGTTTACGTCCAATTAGGTAATGCCAGACGTCCAAGTTTGAACTCGAACAGCTTCACGACTCGACACCTCGCAGTCTCACACGCCCCCCCCTTCCTACCGTAAGGTCTTAGCTCCTCCCCATCTCGGTCAAGATGGACGAGATCTTGGTTTTGCGCCCATGGTTCTTTGAGCTTTGGAGTCTTGGGCGCATTTTGTGACAGGCTTGGGTTCCTCTGGGAAGGCCGGGGGCCACGGGGAAGGGGGGGGGGGGGTTCCTGATTCAGATGCATTCCCACATCCATCGCACGAGATGGAAGGCACGTTGGGCACCACAACCAAGGTTGAGATATCCGATTTCCGAGGTTTTTTTCTTTGGTCTTGCTTTTGGATGAATCGCCAAAAGATTTGAACCGCAAACATATCGTCAGGTTGCATGCAAGATGATGATGACGGGTGTCCTAGTCAAAAGTAGACCAGATCGCGATGAAGGAAAAAAAAAAAAAAAAAAAAAAAAGGCGCGCTCGCTTCCGATGAGATGCGCCCCCCAATGGCCCCCCAATGGCCTCATGGAAACGGTTTCCTCCCCTCAATCTCGCAGTACCTTGTAAATCCATAGTAGGCAGTTTAGTCAAGATGGGCATTCCGGTCCGCAGAGTTGACGACGGGCTGCGGATAGGCAAGTGCCGCCAAGGTCCCGAGGTGCCCCTCCATCGTTCTATTCTCTTTCCATTTCGTCGTGTGTTGACAGTTTTCCCCCTTCCGGGATTTGACGCCAAAATACACAGTACACGCCCACGTCCACGCCCCCCCCGAGTCTCGGGCACCCACCCCCCTAGACCTTGTCAGCCGCTCTTTTGCTTTTTCCCGCCTAGCTTGGTCTGGAATTAGGCGTGGCAGCAGCAGCAGCAAGTATCGAGTACCTCTTCCTGAATCTCTCCCTCTCAACCAAGTCCGAGGTTTAATACCAGTAAGTATTAGGTATCATCTTCGTTTCGTTTCGCCGACTCGACAGGACAGACTAGGAAACCTTTCTGCAGAGGACCGCTGTGTTTATGGACTACCTACCCGTGTATAGATTCAGTGCAGGTCTTGCATACAACGCTCTAACATATGCAGCATACGCAGTAGTGTCATAAGGGAGTGAGAAGAAGAGAGAGAGAATCCGGTGCAGGGTGAAGGACTCAAGAAAAGTATGAGTGTACCATGTACCTGTACCCTGTACCGTACAGATGGACCCTCCTTGGTGCATGTGTCAAAGAGACTCCCCACAGCACCTCTCATGTCAATCATCAGTCTTTCCCACCGTCGGATCCGTCCGCCCGTACCATTCACACACTCTGTCGCCTACCGAGTACGCAGTATTGTCGACTCTGTATCCATACCGAGAGTCGTGGAAGTGCTTTGGTCACATTTTCCTTTGCTCAACCACCCCGTGCTCGTATGACGAGCCCGTCCATCGCCAGTTTTGCTCGCCGTTCCAACCCGCGCCCGCCTTACCATCACGCCCCCCATGATCCATTCCTCCAAGTCCACCCTACCCGCATCCCAGCATTCGGACCTCAACCCCGGCTCATGGCCGATTTTCTTGGCCATTGACTCTCTTTACGCACCATGTTCTGTTTTACTCGCCTTCTGGTATATAGCTTTGCCCGTTCGTCTTGTTGTCTCCCCACCTGTCCACTCTCGAACCATCAGCCTCATCTAAAGTAACATCATACCTTACTCCGTACAGTACCTTACCAATATTGTCTTCTCTCGCCATCGGCATCTCGACACACCCATAAACACACACACACACACACATAACTCAACACCGGCCCCTCCTCAACTCACTTCCCGAGTAACGCCACCAGCACCTCGCATCTTCAATCAACGACAATTCCTCCAGACCGGTCCATCGTCAGATTCCCCCCTCACCTCCCACACCCCAGTCAACCTACCCCTCCATGAATCGCACCATGGCTCAACAACAGTCCTTTGACTATTATCAAGTACCTCCGATGCCTCAATCAATGGTATGTAGTCTTTTCTTTCCTCCCCTTTAAACCAACCTGTCATTCCCGACTTACACACGACGACTTGACCCAATTGGCATCAAGTCTCTCTCACACCTGCATAACCGACACTTCTTCCCTCTGCATCAGCACCCAACTAACACTGCATCTCCAACAGAGCCCACCGGAGCTGTCTCCGCTCTCCTTCTACGACACCCAAGCCGACTTCAGCGCAGACTCGGCCCCGTCCCGCGGCTCCCCCGTCTCCCCCGTCTTCCCGACCTCCTCCTTCCAGCTCCCCACCGGCGGCGACTGGCCCGCCTACTTTGAGAAGCCCGCCCTCTCCCCGGACCTCGACGTCTTTTACGGCGAATCCTTTGGCAGCCCAATGTCCTTCCTCTCCCCCCAGAACCTCACCCTCAGCCCCAGCGCCAACCCGTCCGACCTCATGTCCGACGCCGTCGCCTTTGGCCGCGAGGGCATCAACGACACGCAGCCCCTCTTCCAGACCCTCGACGCACCCGCCCGGCCGCAGCCTCAACCTCAACCTCAAACCCAGCAGCCCGCAAAGTCGCCCCGTCTCGCCCGGACGACATCCGCACCCTCCTCTCGTCCTCAACAACAGCCGCAACAGCGCCAACAGCAACAAACACAAACACAAATACAACAGCGAACCTCCCCGCGCACCAACGACCTCAAGCGCAAATCCTCCGCCTCCTCCGCCTCCTCCCGCTCCGCCTCCCCCGAACCCCCCGCCCGCCGCACAAAACACTCGGAACCCTCCAAGAACCCGCACAACATGATTGAAAAGCGCTACCGCGTCAACATCAACGAGAAAATCATCGCCCTCCGCGACGCGGTCCCCTCGCTGCGGTGCGTCGTCCAGCACACCGAAAACCCGCACGCCGCCGCCGCCGCCGAGAGCGACGAGGCGATTGACGTCGTCGAGGAGTTGGGCGGGTTGATGCCCGCGCGCAAGCTGAACAAGGCGACGATCCTGAGCAAGGCGACCGAGTATATCGCGCACCTGGAGAAGAAGAATTCGCAGCTGTGGAAGGAGAATGAGGCGTTGGAGAAGAGGCTTGCGGAGGCGCAGCAGTGGCAGCGGGCGCAGGCCGAGGGACCTTTCTGGTCTTGATGGGTTGGGTGTTGTCCTTGCGCATAGTATCGAATACGAAAGCCAAAAAAAGAGATGGAGTGCATCATAGAAGGGTGTTTACAAAAATCCAACCATTGGGTAGATGGAAAGAAGGGGGAAAAGGCGCGAGGTTTTCCGGCAGTTGACACTGTTTTTGACGACTTTGGAATTCTCTTTTTTTACAAGGGCGTTCTTTTACGGTACTTGGCGGGGAGACTCGATGGGAAGAAAGGGGGGAAACTGGATTGTTTTTGAAATGTATACCACGGGGATGATTCCATCATCAAAGAAGGCGTTTTACGGGTTGTTTGAGTAGGGACATTTGAAGAGGGTTTTTGGCGAGGTTTACCTGTCAAAGAAGAGACTATTGCTTTACCTTGGGTGGAGGATTCAGAGGTATTATCTAGGAAAGGTGACCTTTGGTTTACCGGAACTCTCCGCTTTCTTGCTTCGCATGAAAGATGCGAATAATGAAGAGATATTTTGAACTACATTACATGCTTTGGGGGCAGCTGTTTGTGAGGTCGAGGCAGCTCGAACCCTCAGTTGCCATTACCTCAGTTGGTGCTGTCAGCTGTGCAGCGACCTATATTTGCGTGTACAAATCCTCTGAATCCAATAAAAGCTGCAATAGTCTTGGTCCCTTTGATGACCCTTTCAGTGATCTCAATACCTCGAGCCCTTTATCCCCTCGGAGAATCCATCAGCACCATTGATAAAGCTCTGACCCTCCCCGTGGCCAACTCTTCAAGGGCGAGCGACACTGTCGAGACATCTTCAGTGTCCCGTGTTCTCCCAGCAGCCCCATCTCCGAGAACCGGCAAGCTCGGGCGGCCCAAGGGGGAAAAAATACGCCTCCAACGCCCCGACACGCAGCCCGCCTCACCCTAGCGCGTGTGACAGTCCACCACCAGCGGAACCGAAGACGTCGGCCGAGGCGCGATCCTTCGGCTCCGGGGTGTCTTTTCGGAACCCGTGGTCCGGCGTGCACTACCTAGAAGTAGCGTCCGCCGCTGCGAGCAGGGAAGTCAGTCGAATGATCCGATGTGAAAGGGCTATCCCGACGTGAAGTAAATGGATAGGGTTGATCCGTCTGTTGAATCACGGGGGCAAATACCTCCAGTCACTAAAGATCATTGGCCAGACCACATATCTGAGGTAAGGGCAGCGGTATTTGCTATAACTGTTTTCGTAGCTGTGGTGGCCACGTAGAGCGTTACTAGTAAATGGGAATGGACTCGAGCAAAGTTTTGTGAGTGTAGACGTCGGTAACATCTTGAACAGCGTGATTTGGAGCCAAAGTGAAACAGAGAGAGAGGGACTTATGCAGGACAGTGTGAATGGGCCTTTGCAGTCTGAGCACCATCAGCAAAGGTCCATAATCTGGGCCACTGGTGTTCAACAGACTATGGATACTAGTCATATATATAAGAGCATACTACATAATGCCGGCTATCGGGGCCTGAGAAGAAGTGCGAGTCAGAGAGAGCAGGGCCTGTGACTACACGTGAGTTGAAAGCAGGAGGATGGCTGGACCATGTTACGAAGATCTACTGTAATAATGCCGCTGAGTATTTCCTAGGGAGATCAGTTTTGAAGCGAGCGGTGGAGTATTGTTACCCATTTGAGTGTATACTAACCGACGATTGAGTTGACCTGCTCAGGAGCGCTGTGCGAGAGTCAACGTCATCCATCCACAAGGGTAGACGGGAACAATACTATTGTCCGACGAAGGAGGGTCTGCTCATTCAAAGCCTTCAAAAGCTTTCGTAGTTTTGTTCCATTTATTCTGGCTTTGAGATATCTCAAGTTTGTGCGTGATGTTCAAAGCAGCACGAGTAGAATCATTGTTGGCGTGCACTCCTTTGTCCATTGTTTGGATGACTGGTTTCGCAGACAGCTTTCTCTCGCTGATTCTGGGTGAACCCGAACACCGGTATGATAATCAAAGATGAACCATCGTGACTGTCACAAAGCCGGTGGTAAACCAAACAAGTATAAGAGAATGCGACCCAAGACGTGGGAAGCAGCTGTAAGGTTCATAGCCATCAGCGAAGACATAAACACACACACCACACCACACCACACCCACACAGACAAGGATCAACGCAACTACACACGCTTGAGACCAAGACGCGAAATGGACCCTCCTCCCAGACGTCTCAGACTCGTTCCCAAGGTCACCTTCATTCTTTCATCCATCGCCATACACTATGAGGTCGTCAAATTCGTTTACAACAACCATACACCACATGATCTCCTGAACCCGTCCCTACTCTTCGTTCTACCATGTACGATATTCATCATTAGTCATGGTCTTGGGGTTCTGAGACACCACGCGTTCGCAATTGCTTTGAGAAGGGAATTCGGGGTGATTAGTCTGTGGCTATTTTACTTTTTACCAGTCCTCATCCAAATTGTCTTGTGGCTGAGGTTAGCACAATGGGTCACTGCGACAGTTCCATGGCTGATAATATCGGCATTCAGGCTGTCCCCCATCGTTATACTGTTGTTTCTCGCTGTTCAGCTGTGGAGGAGGACAAGCAGACAGACCCAGCAGTTCCCTGCGCGCGAGCATCGGCTCGTGGCGCAACGGGTGGATGAGTTAGCCGATGGGCCTATTCACGTTCCGATGCAGGAGTTGAATGAAAATTGGACATTCTGAGATGCTGTTTGATCGTAGAAGACTGAGTTACTATATGCGAGGTTACTTATACTACAAATTTGACACATAGTGCCACCAAGTTGTGTTATTCTAGTAAGATCGCTTTGCTGTGAAGGATTAGTCTGATTCATTTTCCCCTCGTGAGAGCCTTTTTGCTGGATCGGGCTACTAGGGCGCGGCGCTATATCTAAAGCCAGATTTTCATACGGACTTCCCGTGGTGGTCGACGGAGAGAACCAGACAACAGTCGATTTGGGTGTGGATTTCGCAAGACGTCTAGAAACCCAGTCTCGAACATCGTCTGGCGACGGACCAGCTGTCGGAAATCCACGACGTAACTACGTGCTGCGCATCTGACCCATCCTAATCAGAACCATGTAGCCAGTGATCGATCAGTGGCACTCGACTAAGTAAGCGCCCAAGTGCTGATGGACCCCGTATCGATAGTGTGAATAATGAAGTAGCGGTCGTGCTCACTATCCAGCGAGCTTATCTCTCAGGTTCGCATCAAATTGGACTCTCGGTCTCTGGAGACTCCGTGAGATAGCGATAGGGCAGCAGCCGTGGTCTTCGGGCTTGGTCTCGCAGCACCCGAAGCCTAGTTTGTGAAGCGGCAAAACTTGGTGCTTACCTTACTTAACTAGTCGTTGCATGTATCAACGTCACCTCAAGAGAGCACCAATTGATGTATCGTACATAAGCATTTTGGCTGACATCCGGGTTGTCGTAGGGCAATTCCTGCGCTCAGGCATGCATGACAGCTGGCGCGAGACCGAACATTGAGTCGTGTAGATCGGCCCCAGGCTGCGATTTTCTGTACAACCCGTGGCGAGGCTATTTGGACATCTTCCAATCACCGGCCACGCCCACAGCTACATAAAGACGTTCTAGAGGTGACAAAAAGTTGCGCTTGCCCACAGTGCCCCTTGACAGAAAGTGCATCCAGAAACAGGCCCTGCAAGGAATGAATAGTTGGATTCTTTCCAGACCGGCCACCGCTGCAAGTATGAAAGGATAGAATGCTCGATTTACAAGAGGTTCGTTCAAATGTGGCATGGTTCAGCAAGCCTCGTCTTGGCCCGTCAACTAAGCCTGAGGTCCCTGGTTCGTATATCAGAAAGCATTTTCAAGTTGAAGAAGCGAGATGAGCGTTCATGCCACAAGAGAACATAATGATCACATCTGAACCCACGCCGATGCCCTACACAGTTTACCTCTGGTCGTTGCTCTTACACTAAACCTAATGGATAGACCATGGGCTAAACATTCCTAAAGCGGGTATGTATTTCCGCCATGCACCAGGTAAACCCCACCTTGTGTGAAACTCTTTTTCGACAACGCTCACCAGTCCTTAGCAGAGACATGTGTAACAAAGCGCACAATCGCAGGTATCACGCACGAAAAGGGATCTTTTGACACTGGTTCGAACAAAGCTCCGCCTGGGTGGCAGATGAAATGACGGCTTGCAAAACCGATGGGGAGTTCGAGATACGCACTCCGTACATAAATAGATTGCTGAGGGGCTCTAGTCAGCGTACGAGTACACAGAATTCCTTTCCCTGATCCCGGTGGAAAATATCCTTCCCCCTAGTTGTTCGGATTCGGGGTCTGCTTGTCGCAAGTCGCCCAGTTGCAGCCCTTGGGGTCCTTCCTTCCGTCTCGTGGGTCGCACTGGCTAGGACACCAGGCGTTTTGATAGGTAACGCCATTGGGCTTCTCGTAAGGGTTGCAGTGGAATCCGCCCTGTGTGCATGTGCTGCCGGGGTTCCCGACGCCGTATGCAGAGGCCTATGCTGTCGTCAGTAGGTCGTCATACTCGTGATAGAGCTCATGGAGCATACTTACCATGCTGAAAGACAGAACAGTGGTGACGAGAAGGTTGTTCAGTTGCATGGTGGTGGAGGAATATTTACGAAGAAGGAGTCAACAGTACTGATAGCGAGCGTGATGTCAACGGCAAAGCGAAGATGAGCTGGAAGTGAGAATGTTTGTACAGTGACGCAGTCAGCGAGAGACACGGCTTTTGTAGAGAGTTAGAAGAGCATTGGAGACGGCCAGCCCGAGGGTTTACGGAAGTATAATAAGTTGCATTTGTTTAGCATCATCTGATTCCTGATAAATTGCGCATGAACTTTCTCGGCCTGGTCGACCAAAGCTTCCTGTTCATTTGAGGCATCCCCATATGCTCGATACTTGATGGAGTCGGAGTCATACAAACGGCTTAAGCATGTGAGAAATTTCAACTGAATCGCGCAAAGCGGACACCGTCTAAATTGCCGTGAAGAGAGTCTTTCGAAGGGAATATCTCGGTCAGAATACTAAAGGAAGATATTAATAAATGCGGGCGCGGTAGGTGGCGCAAGTATCCATTGCTCCCTAGGAATGAACAACACTTTCCCAAATGTAGTTCCAGAGATTGATTCCAAGCTGAGAGAACATGGCTAGCGTGTCACATCAACCCGGTTGTTGATCAGAGGACCCCATTGTCATGGGCCACGCACAGAGAAGCCAAGACGGCAATCAGGCTCGTCCGTATCCCGCCCGTCGCTAACGACAGAGGCCACCTTGGTCTAAGGTAAGTTCAAGTCCCGATCTAGAAACCCGAGCCTCGGCAGATCGTTGAGGGGTAAGGAACATACCGACTCCTGGTCAAAGACAAAATAAGATATCTTTACCTTGACCCGTTCTCACATCACCACACCCGCATCGAAATATCCACAGATTTTGACCCGACGCCCTGCGGCTTCATGATGGAACTCCCACAATCAATCAATTTGACGAGCATTCTCGTTTCTGTACTCATATTGGCAGCAAAGTTTTGCTTCAAATGCGTCATCGACAGTCACCGGGCGCGTTTGTCTGACATCCCGGGTCCTTGGATTGCTCGGTACACAAACCTGTACGCGGTCTATTTAGCCTGGCGTACCGAACGGGGTTCATCGAAACTAAACATCTTGGACGATCTCCGGGACACATATGGCGATGTGATTCGCCTAGGACCTCGCTCGGTTACCGTGTTCGATCCTTTCGCCGTGCCAGTCATTTATGGTGTTCGATCTCGGCTTAACAAGGTTGATAAAGTCAACAATTGTATTGTTGGAAGAATTTGGAATTCTGATGCTAATGACTGCGAGTCTTTCAGGGTGAAGCATACATACCTTTCCGTCAATCCGGGGTGACGACAAGTCTCCTTAGTATTCAAGAGGAGACGATTCACTCACGATATCGGCGCCTGGTATCGAATGCTTATTCGATGACGTCGTTGAAAGCTTATGAGCCCTATGTTGATGAGCTCATCTCCAAGTTCATAAAAGTTTGTGAGGAACACGCTGAGAAGAAGCAGGTGCTGAATTTGAGCCGCTGGTGCTACAACTGTCAGCCCAATCCCTCTGTTTTCACTTGTTGAAGCTGAAAGGCTGACTCCAGTACGCGAATAGACTGCTTCGACGTCGTTGCGAAACTGTCTCTGGGCAAACCTCTCGGCTTTCTCGATGGATATGACACGTATGGTCTGTATGAAAAAGTCAAGCGATTTGGGGCATACGTCGCCATCGTCTCCCAAATGCCCTGGCTGCACAAGGTCGTCCAAGAAAACTTCGTGATGAGGCGCTCGAGGCCATCGCCATTTCTCAAAGTTGTGTCCGAGACTGTCAACGAACGTGTCTACCAAGGCAAATCTGATACCCGACCGGACCTGTTGTCTTACTTCGTCTCCACGCATGAGCAACAGCCTCAGCTCATGACAACCAAGCAGGTCGCAATATCGGCCTCAGGGAACCTGATTGCCGGCAGTCTTAGCCCCGGGAAGACTTTCCACGAAATGTGCAAGTACCTGGCAAGCAACCCAGCCTCACAGGACAAGTTGTACGCGGAACTGAAAGAAGGTGGATGCGGATCGTTTCCGACTTTTGACGAACTTCAGGAACTGCCGTACCTATTGGGTGTTGTCAAAGAAGCCTTACGTCTTCACAGCTCTGCCTCGTTCAATCTGCAGCGAGTCACTTCTTCGGCGGGTTTGCGGCTACCCAATGGCGTGTTTATTCCAGGACAAATCAATATCGGCTGTCCAGCTTCTCAAATCAACCGGGACCGCCATGTGTTTGGTCAGGATGCCGATGTATACATCCCAGAAAGATGGATGAAGAGAACGGCGGAGACTGACGAGGAATATCTCGAAAGAAAGGGTTTTATGGAGAAGACGGAGCTCACTTTTGGGCAGGGATCGCGGACGTGCATTGGCAAGAATATATTTGCCTTGGAGGTGTACAAAGTCGTGGCTACCTTAGTGAGCCTCTACAAGGTGCGCACCGTCACTTACTTCTGGCTCTTGTAACATCTTCCGATATTGTGTTTTTGAAGTTTGAGAAAGTTGGAGGTCCAGGAGGCGAGGTCACCGTAAGATTGGCTCGCAGAGTTCAATGAACACGATGATCAGAAGAAGTAAATCCGGATGAAGTGGGCTTCGTTCTTCTGATCGTATTCGCCCCTGAACAGGGGCATATCAATGACTATGAGCTGGGTTACATTTATTCATGTTTTCAGCAATCGGAACCTTGAGGCGGTCTACTAGCTGCCATATTACACTGCCTGAATAGGCGAACCTCGTTCTCCGCGAAGGCCCCAACAATGGAGTGCATAACGCCATGGTTGTTGAAGAGAACGAGGTCACCCTCCTCCCAATCATGAGGATACACGTATTGCGGGCTGATTGCTGGTCGTTGCAGTCTGTAAATCAACTCTCTGACCTCTTTCAAGTCCTCCATTACCGTTCCATCCTTAAGATGGATCCTGCGCGCTGGCGTCGGGTACACCATCATAGCAAACTTTCCCGTTACCGGATTCTTCCATGCCATAGGGTATCTCCTGATATTTTCCTCCTCAATCTCTGGGAGCTGGTCTTCAGACAGCTCTAGACCTTCTGAGAAAAGACCTAGGCCATTTGACCTCGCCTTCGCCTTGCTCATCCAGATGTACGGGTGTGGGCTGTACTCGATCGTGCTGGTCTTGACAAACTCCTGATCCTCCTCCGATAGTAATTCAAACATGCGGTATCCACTGATGAAAGCTGTCGTTCCCAAAGGTACTTCTAGCTCGTCTCCAGTCCCATCGTCGTAGCGACAGATCTGCCGCCGCCCCTTAGGTACCCTGCAAGCAAACAGCGATGTGACGAGAGGCGGGTCTAGGTTGTACATGGCCGAGTCAATGTGCCATCGGTAAAAGTGGGTATAGTCGTAGTCCTCAGCTTCCGGAACAGGATGCTTATGAAAGGTCTTGTGGTGAGGGTGGGTGAGCTTGAGATTCTCCAGTCCTTCGAACTCGACTACTGCGCCGTGGCCGATGACTTGCACTTGCGGCTGAGATGGCAGGGTGGTCAGATCCTTGTGGAGGACGCTGTGTTTGTCGATGCGGGAACCATGGCTGTATGTACTTGCTTCAGGGTCGAATAGGCGGGTGAGTTCGTATTGGGCTTTTGGTGAGAGGTTGTGCTGGCCTTTGATCAGGACAACGTTGTTGTTATAGAGAGCTTCTCTAATAACTTGAAAACTTTCATCTACGCATATGGTTAGCTTGATGAGTGTGTTTGCTTCTGGACACATATACTTACCATCGATGTGTTCGAGATCAATCCCCGAAAGTTCGGCTCCGAAATCGACAGCTGATTTCTCAAACGGCTTGGGAAGAGGGGAAATCTCAACTCCAACGGCTGCCATGATGAAAGTCAGGAAAAAGTAAGCGATGATTCGTGTTCGAGGAGTTGAGTTGAATATTCCCTGAAAGAGGGACACTTGGACTTCATCACGGTATATATATCAACCGAAACAAGCTTTCAGAGATGCATTTGGCTACTGCGGGCGAGTTGCACAAACTGGCCCGCCTCTCTGTGTGCCCGGAGATAATCGACGGGAACAGTGTTTGGACCATTCCTGTGACGTGCGGGTGACATGAAGGACTCGCCCGCATGCATCTCATTGCCTGGCCAATGAGAGACTGTGACAATACGATTACTACGCGTCACTGCGTGTTACATGACAGGAGAAGGACAGAACTGGCGATGCGGAAGAGCGTGTTCAACTCACCCGCTCCAAATTGGCAGAAAGTTTAAAGTCGTCGATGTAAAGGTAAGACTGGTTGGCTATAAGTTCATGCGGCTACCCGGGCTCATGAACAGTTCATCAACCAACAGACTCAATCAATTCTATTCTTTAGCCCTGTCAACTTCATCGTGTTGATCATACAGTTACAATGGGCAGCCTCACTTCCCCATCTCAAGGACTCTCCTTCAGGGAGCTCCCGACCTCCCTTCGTGAGTCTTCTTTGATTGGGGCCGAAGTTCACCTGCCCTCATCAATGGATGTCCTGGACGTAGACGCTTTGTCAGAAAAAGACCTCGAAACCTTCAGAAGAGCCCTGTTCGAAAACCAGGTCGTGGTCATCAAGAACCAGACGGGCATCGCGCCTGAGACTCTGCCTAAGCTGACCAAAGTCTTCGACCCGACTGCGACTGATATTCATTCTGCTGGCGAGAAGGCCGTTAGTGACCCCAGGAATATTCTTTCGGCATACAAAGCAGGAAGAATTCCAAGAGCACCGCAAGTGGGCATCATCGGCAGCGGCAAGTTTAAGAACTATGAAGGAGTTGAAGAGTTGGAGGTAATTCATCTGGTATGTCTGAAGCCTACCGTTGATCAGCTGATTAATTGAAATTTCGAAACCGCAAGCCATTGGCGATCTGAGCTAATAAAACCGGCCAGGATCATACTCTGTTCCATGAGAAGCCTCTGTCGGAGGAGGAGCTAAGCAATGGATATACCCGACCATACCGGTGGCACATGGACACTCCCTTCTACCAGCGTTTGCCTGGCGAAGTCACCATCCTTCACGCGGTTAAGGTGCCGAACCTGCCTGATCAGAAACTCAAATTTCCAGACGGGAAAGAAAAGAGCATTGCTGCTGGATCCACAGCCTGTAAGTCTAGTGCTAAAATTCGCACTCTGAAGACGCATGATTGACCTTCCGTCAGTCTTCTCCGGGGCCCGGGCATTTCAATTGCTTACCCCGGCTGAGCAAGAGTTTGCTCTGAACACGACTGTAACATACGCTCCTCAAGCCTATGAATATATCAGACAATGCAAAGCGACGGAAGACGGATTGTCAATCCCAACAATGGAGAAAGAGGTTCCCATAGAGCAACTCTCTGAATGGTCTTGGGAAAATGTTGCTGAACATCCCGTAAGTCACTCAGTTCCATCTGGATTCTTCTCAATGTTGTACTGACAAGCCTCAGATGGTCTGGCGCAACCCGTTGAACCCCGACCGACCATTTCTCCAGGTTCATGGTTGCTGCGTATTCAAGCTGACAACTCGGGATCCGGCGACGGGTGAAGTATCAGTCGTAGATGATGTCGCCAAAGTCCGCGAGATCGTCTACGGCTTCCAGAAGAGAATCTGGGCGGCAGAGAATATCTACGCTCACCGGTGGGAGGAAGGTGATGTCGTGATCTTTCACAATCGCGGCGTCATGCACAGCATCACAGGACAATTGTCTCAGTATAAGGAGGACGAGGAAAAGAAGAGACTGATGTGGCAGTGTACGATGACTAGTGGCACGGCGCCGCAGCCATTCAGAAAACAGCCCGGGGTTGTTGAGACTGGGTTCGCCAAGGCGGCATGAGCGACAGGATCATAGCTAGTCTGTACCCAACTAATTCAAGTCATAATAACTTGGTGTGTCTTTGATCGATTCAATCCTCTTCAAGAGCATCTATTTCTCCTTTCAATTTGAGATTGTCTCCCCTGAATAGAGCCGGTTCCCGCCGTCTACGGTCAACCTTCAGATCAAACACGTCTAGGCGTTGATACCCGCCAACCACATCGTGGTACTGCTTTCCCTCAACACAATCCCCAACATCTAAGTCTGCATACAAGATGCCTTCTTCGTGTTGCAAGAATTCTGACGGGGTTTCTCGGAGAGTTCCTTCTTCAATTGTAAACCCCGGCAATAATGCGCCTGTTGAGTCCAAGAACATGGTCGCGCCCCGTGGCGAATCTCTCAGCGCCTGGGAGACCACGTCTTCTTGTCTCGCCCCCGAAGAGACAGACTCAATTGCATCCTCGCCCAGGACTCCTGAGCAGAGAACACCAAAGCTTTTAGCCTCAAAGCAGTGTGCAGCCGCCCTCGTCCTGTTGGCAGCAACATTGTCGTAGTTGGCCCATTTAGCCACGCTTGATCCCACTCGAGAGCTTGTCTCCTTGGATTTCGGAACTCTCGTCGGCCATATCGCAGGCCATGTGGAGATGTGAATCTGCTCTCCCTGCGCCATGAGCGCATACCTCGCAAGCGGGTTTGTGTTCTCCCCGCAAATGAGATTCCCAATCTTCCCGAATCGCGTCTCTGCGACGCGCAGGCCGTAGCCATCTCCGGGCGCCCACGTCAACTTTTCGAAAAACGTTGGCATGAGTTTTCGGTGATGGACTAGGATCTCTCCGTCAGTACCGATGATGATGTTAGTATTAAAAAGCGTCGCGCTGCTGTAGCGAGCCTTTTCAGAAATGCCGACGCTAAGCAGTACATTGAGCTTCTTTGCCGTGGAGCGGAGAGCGTCTACCTCTTCACCGTCGATGTGGACGGATTCCTGCACCATGGACTTGAAGAGGTCATGGTTCTCAAAGGGGGCGCGCAGGGAGGACCAGATAGGGAACGCTGGGATGTAGGTCTCTGGGAAGACAACGAGGTTTGCTTTGTTCCTGGATGCTTGGTCAATGAGGGAGATTGCCTTTTCGGTTGTGCGTCGCGCGGAGAGGAAAATAGGCGAGACGTGGCAGGCGGCAACTCGGATTGAGGTGAACATAGTCGCGGGGGAAAGCTGAGCTCGCGCAGACTGGTCTAGAATGGTCAAGACACCGAATTGTTTGGCTCAATCAAATGCGACGCTACTAAGATACCTGGTGATGGACGACGCTTGATTTTGTTTAATGGCTCCAATTCGGTTGGCACGAGAAGTTGAAATGATGTGTCTATCTCTCGGGGCTTTTTCTGTTGCCGGCGGACCACAGATCCTTGTTCCGCTTACTGATCTCACGCAACTACACTCTTTAATAGTTGCATCTACCAATACCATCACGGCGTTCCCAAGCACAGCAGTTTTATAGGCCAATGCAACAACATCTCATCATTTATTCTTCATCATTGGAAACATCCACGCGTGTCCCAATGTTCTCAATCATGCCAACTCACACTCGATCAAGCTCTCTACGCCTTCACCCGCTGACCAAATCTTGGCAATCTTGAGACCAGCAGGTTCCAGAAGCTTGCGCCATTGCTCTTCTGTTCGCTCCCTGGAACTAAAGAGTGTCATCATCATCATATCCAGCGCCGTGGCCTGCCAATCGGCCCCCGTCGAGGGAATCACATTCTCATTAATGAGAAGCTTGCTGTAACCCGGTTTCATTGCCGCAGTGACGCGCGACAAGATGCTCCTGCAAACATCATCCGTCCAGTCGTGTAAAACAGAGTGCATATAATAGGCTCTTGCGCCTTTGACGGGCTGCTCTGTGTGGAAATCGTACGACATGGGCTCAATCTTAGGGTCAACCTTCTGAACCTGAGATAGTACGTATTCAAGATCTTGGAGGACGTGTCGGCCGGGAGCAGTGGGATGCTTTCGACAGAATTCTTCTAGATCGTGGCCGATGCTACCGCCAATGTCGACCAGAAAAGCCGCCTCTGATGAACTGTCTGCGCCTTTGAAAAGGCGCTCTGAAACAGGGAAAAATCCATCATCCATCCAGGAAGGGCGTCCTTGCCTGTATCCGGCCATATGGTTCTGGAATTCTCCGGCGGGATGATTGGTCATCATGTGCTTGAAGAAGTTGTTATCTTTACCGATGACATCCTGCATTGGCCCCTCTCTAGGGTCCGGCGAGATGGACAGTCGTGTTTTTTGAGGTAGAGGGGGAAATTCGAAAATGTCGGCCAGCAACTTTCGACGCTAAGTGATGTGACAGGATGGTCAGTCCATAGAAACGGTAGCCCAACGAAGGAAGAGTGACTTGAAGCAATCTTACAGACAAGGATATCCGCCGGCTATGATCGGTAAACTCAGCGACTTGGTGAAGTTTGTGCCGTCGTACTCATCCGGGCCAACTTCCTTGAGGTATCCCATTGAGCAGAGATGACGCAGTGTGCGAGAAAGTACATCGATATCAAAACGAAGAGCTTTGCCTAGATGATCCACGGTCTTCGGACCAGGGTTTTGGGCCAGGTACTGAAACAGGCCCGACTCAATGCCAGTCGCAATGACGAAGGTCACAGCAGGCTGATGGTAATAGCAACTTAGCAAGTACTCCCATAAAACGAAAGTGAATGTGGAAGGCGATTGTCCTCACCTGAGCCCAACAATGTTTAATCATCGTCTCTCTTGGGGTCTCCAGCGCCTGTAGCAGTGACCGGGCCTGCTTCAGAAGGGCAAGACGACCCTCTTCATCGTCGAGGAGAAAAGATGTACCAAGAGTGCCGATATTGTTGGCTAGGTGTGCTACCCTCTGGGCATCGTTGGCCTGGGTAGCGATGGAGGTGTCCAAAAGCGTCTTTTCCGGAATAGAACCCATTTTTTAAGGATTGAAATGATCAAGTTATTGTGGCGATGGGAAGTCTGAAGATTGAATGAAAGAATGCCGCCAAAATCAAAGCACAAAGAAGGGAAGGGATATATAAATGCAAAGCAAAGAATTTGAGAAACCCGGTTTACCCAAGAAGGACCACCTTTACCTTTTCCAACATAGAGGCAGCGGTTCTCATGTCGATTCTGACCACAGAATCCTGGGGCTGTTGCTACCATAATTGTCGGTACTCCATTCTGTAAATTGCGCTCCCAAATGAGAAGTCTTGCGGTCGATTAAAACTCCTCGCTGGGATTATCTGCAACTCTGCACCAACGACGACAACAAACAAGTCTTGAGCTATTCAGCGTATCTGGTGATACCGTTGTGGCATGGCTCCATACCAAGACCTGGGCAAGGGGCGGGGAGAACGGGAGACCCAAAAATCAGGTGAAAGCAAACATTCTTTGTCAAGGATGTAGTGGAATCTCTACCCTGGCGACGAATGAGAGTCTTGTGTTGGTGTTGTTTGTTGGTTGAGTGCGTGCGCGTCCCCGGGTCCCCGGGCTGTTGGTTCACCCATGCTGGGAGGAATACGAAAGTCTTCAATATGATCCTGCAGTTTGTCGGAATACATTAGTGGGAACTTAGGAAACTCGAAAATTGGTCCTTTAATCACCGTTCCTTGTCAGCCGAACTGAGATTACCGCCAATGGCGGTGGAAGCTCACACAGGGTATTCGCCGAGGTGTCATCGATGGACTGATTGAGAACGTTTGATGCCGATAGGAGAAGGGGGAGCTGCGCATTCCACATGTCCAACTGTCGATCGCAGTTCGAGAGACGTTGCAGTCTTCAAATAATCATGAATCTGACCCCCTGACCGAGGCTCAGTATGGAAGGGGCTTGTCTTTTCTTCCTGGCAACCGCGTAATCCAGTTCTTCTATTTGGTGGCTGCCGGCGCCGACTTTTCGATTTGTCTTTGAGGTCTCCCCTTTGTTCGATTCGTTGTTCTCATTCTCCTCGACTTTCTGGAGCAATGTCCGGAAAAATGTCGCTCAACCGAAATACCGAAGACAAGGGCCCTGTGGCACTTGGCATTGTCATCTCTATGTCGGTCCTCAGCACCCTCTTCACCGCTGGTAGACTCTTCGTTAGAGGAAGAATATTGAAGCAGTTTCATCTCGACGACTACTTGATTGTCGCGTCTGTAGTAAGGAACATCTCAGCTTCGATTCGACCGTCTCCAATACGACGTATTGTCCGAGATTTCCCAGTTGTTGACGATCTCTGCTCCAGGTCTGTGGATGGACGAATGTTGGAACAGCTATCACGGCGGTGGCGCATGGAAATGGCCGGCATTTTGATGTGCTAACACTCGAGCAGAAGTCGGGAGCAATACTCTGGACCATTGCTGGCTTTCCTCCTGGTGTCATGTCTTTTGGACTCCCGAAGCTTGCTGTTGTCGCGCTCCTCACACGGATCATGAATCCTAGCAAATGGCATGCTCTTTTCCTGTGGTTCATCGCCTCATTCTGTCTCATCAACTTGATTGGATGCGTAATCATTCTTTTTGCCCAATGCCAACCTTCTCATTCGCAGTGGGACTTTTCAGTCACAGACAAGACGTGCTGGGACAAGTGGATTCTGGTTTACTTTGCCATCTACTCTGGAGGTGCTTCAACCCCGCTCTGTTTCTGTCCTTTAGAATCCTTTCCCTGACAGATTTTTTAGGCTTCTGCGCGTTTGTAGACCTTTACTTGGCCATCTATCCAGCCGTCGTCCTCGCGAAGCTACAGATGAGTGTGAGAAAGAAGGTAGCTCTGAGCATCGCTCTTGGGATTGGGTCAATGTGCGTGTTGAGGCTGAATGCTTTTTGCTTCCTGATGGCAACCAGAACTGACATTCTTGACAAAAAGCTCATCGATCGTTGCTACATACAAATGCTCTCGGCTTCCAAGTCTCGCAAGCTTGGACTTCTCATGTGAGTTTGTTGGAAATCCCTCTTGAAATAACACGCCGAGTCTAAATTAGTCGTGTGATTTTCAGATGACACTTCAGACTTGGTGATTTGGACTATGTGAGTTAAGCAACTGTTCTCAATGTTGATAGCCACAATGGTGTGGTGAGAACTTGTGCTAATTCCCTTTGCTAGAGTCGAGGGCAGCACGATGATCATTGCCGCATGTATTCCCGTACTCCAACCCCTCGGCGAGCTCATCTTTGGCAAGCGCATTTTCAGTTCTAGTGGAGGACGGTATACGTATGAGAACTATGGTTCGGGTCAGAGTGGTCAACATCGATCCGATATTGAAATGTCTCGATCAAAGGAAGTGCAGAAAAGAGTAGCTAGAAGGCAACACGACGCTGCTGCGATCAGCTTTGACGATAGGGTAACAACAACGACGGTCACAAAGGGAAGTCAAGAGAGCATTCTGCAAGGAAAAAACATGTACAGAAGTATTGTAAGAACGGACTTAATCAGCATCAGTATTGAGTCGAGCAAGCCTTGATGTTAGCTCAATTCCTTCAAATACATAGTTGCAGTCAACATCCGACTCTTGTTGGGTAAAGTGTTCTAGCAAGTCCCGTATTCATCGCCAACAAAGACAAAAGCCTTTCTAAACAAGACATTGCCTTCAAAGACTAGCCCTAGAATTTGCCGAGTTCATGCTTCTCTTAGTGCTATTGATGCAGCACACGCATGGCTTCATGGCGAAGGTCACAGCTTGCTGGATACAACAAGCAACGTGAGGGATGTGATCAAACTAGGATCCATACACAAGCAGTCAGCCTTGGCACTACATATCCATGAAACTGCCCTTTACGCTCTGAACCAGCCAATGCCGATTTTCACTAGTATTGGAATCTCCATCTAGGGTCCTTGTCACCGGGCCAATCCTCCAAGTCGCCAATTGCTTGAACTTCCGGTGCAATAGCCTCGCGTCTCTTATTCTCACCCTTCAACACAAAGTATAAGATACCACAGACGATGATATTCGCCAAAAGATACCCCAAAGCGAAAGAGTGGCCGACAATGTACCTCGGACCATCATTGGCACGATACAACTGTGTTCCCAACACAGCTCCCAAATTTCCAATAGTGATCTGCATTGCGTTGCCTACAGCACGCTTGGTCTGCCCAGAGACATTGATGGCCGGCCACGAGAGGACGAGAGCGGTGGCGGGGTAGATTCCCGCAGCTGCGAAGAAGGTTCCGAGGTACGAGACGCCAGGCTTCCCCGCAGGGTCGGAGTTGGCTAAAAGAATGATGTAACCAATCGCCGCGACCGCGGATGATCCCATGATGAAGAAGGCACGGCGGCCGGTGCGTTCGGAGTAAATCGCGACGGTCAATGTTGTGACAAAGGCGACGGCGTAAGGAGGGATAGTGAGCAGTTGGGCGACGGCCGCGGTGTACCCGAGGTTCTTAATGATGGTAGGCTAGGCAAAGTCAGTGAGATGGTCCACTAAGTTTGTGAGAGTAACTCACAATGAACAAAGAAAACGTGTATAGCGGCAAGCTCATGGTGTGGAAACCAAGACCGTACAACCAGCACTTTGGGTCCTTGATAGCATCCATCACATTATTCCACGAGAACTTCTCGTTATGCGTGGCATCGCTGTCGGAAGCTAATCTGGCCCTGATAAAGCGGCGCTCCTTTTCAGAAACAAATTTGGCCGTGTCGGGGTAGTTTTGGATGAACCAGTATGCGCCGACAGCAATGACCACGGTTGCGATACCCTCCTATCAGATTGTCAGGCAACGTTTCTTGATTTTCGATGGGAAGGTCACAAACCAAGATAAAGATCCATCTCCAGCCATTGTCCCATACAACTCTCATGTGTCCGATTCCCCATGCTAGGATACCGCCGAACGCACCGGCAAGAGAGGCAGCGCTGAAGAAGAGGGAAATGCGGAACTGTCTCTCGCGACGCTTATACCTGAGGAAGTTCAGGTCAGAACTATGCCATCCTTAAGCTCCTGGCCCATTGAAACCTACCACATCGAGAAGTAGTATACCACTCCAGGAAAGAGACCGCTCTCAGTGACACCGAGGAAGAAGCGGGCGACAAAGAATCCGGCCATATTAGTGACGATTCCCATGAGCGTCGCGACAATGCCCCATGCGATAGTCAGTGTCGGAAGCCAAAAGCGTGGAGTGGTCCTTTTCAAGATGATGTTGCATGGAATCTGGAACGTTTAGCATTGCACGAACACATGTCTCTTCGGAACATTGTTGTGGAAGCACTTACTTCAAAGAGAACATAACCGATAAAGTATAGAGTTAGACCAGTCAAATACTGGTTACCACCTGCCAAGTATCAGCTACACCGGTTCGGTCTTGACTGAGTCTGTCTGGTTGAAGAAGCATACTCATGTTGAGATCGGTAGTAAGGCCTTCAATTCGAGCATTGCCCACTACGTAGATATTAGTAGATTGTCTCGCAGCAGGGTTTTCTGGAGAATCTCACCATTAGATCGGTCGAGGAATGAGAGAAGGTACAAAATGCCCACCGCCGGCAGAAGCTTGAGATCAAGCTTCCTCAACAGCGACTTCTCATTGACTACATCCTGCTCAAGCTCAACTTCGGACGGGCTATCCGTCCCGCTGATATCATTCGCCGGCATATCTAGCGCCTTCTCGGGCGGAGGATTCTTTGGCGCGCTCATCGTAGGTTGCTGATATTGTGAATTCTCAGATTCTCTCCCTAGCGCTTGTGGCTATTTTGTTTGCCTCAATGTTGGAAGAAGGTGAGGTCCCAACTTCACTCGGTACCAGAAACACCCGCGCTTGTCCGGCTGAAGTCGAGTTTCTAAGGTCGTTTGCGTGTTTGGAAAAGAAACTCTGCGGCCACGCGCACGGCTTATCAATGCGGACCCCAAAAGACCCGGACCAAGCTGTCGGAGCAGACCTCTGCACGAGGAAAAATGAGATTGGCGAGTAGATTGCTCGAGTGGGCTGGTTTCCTTTCCATCTCCGGGAGTATTGCCTCGTTTAGAGCTTTTAGCTACTTGTCGTCCATTTTGACAGCGTATTCTGAGTGTCGTTTTCCCAGGGCCCGCATGGCATCATCAGTCAATGATGACATTTTCCCGGGGCACCATTCCTGTAATTGCGTAGATGCCGTTGCAGGTCACCACTGCCGGGTGGATGGCGCCAGTGGAGGTGGATGGTGAAATTCGTTTGCAAGTTGTGTGATTGGCTCATTTGAATCACCTCATGTTGAAGTCGATGGCGACATCGCCGACTGGGTCTTTTTGCTTTCTCCAACGGCCCCCAATATGGCAAGTGTGTAATCAGTACCTTGAGCATTTCCTTTTTAAAGTGCCTTGGCGCTGCTTGGCAACTTTAGAAATGAACCCCCCACGGCCCGTCGATTCAGCTAAAAAAAATCTTGTTTCTCCGCGCATCTAACGCTAGACCGCGGCTTGCATCTGCGGTTTCGGGCGATTATTCGATAATGGCGACTTCCATCCGACCTTACGGTGCCGATCGGTCGGCAATACGGCTCCGCTCAAGAATCCGTCGTTCCACTTTTTCTCCGATTCCCGATCTCGGCCCTTTCCGATAGCAGTCGGCGGATGGTTGCGACCTCGCAGACGGAATCGGAAGTAGTCTCACTTCTTTTCAACAGATCCGATTCTTTTCGTTTGAGCTGCCTGTAATCCTCTTGAAGGTGACTGTCTAGAATCAGCTCCTGCCAACCAGCTAGTGGCTGAAGTGATTGCTCAAGTCTCTCAGCGATGGTTTCTGAGGTCAGTATTAGAAAGGCATAGATCACAGAATGGCACTGGAAAAGTTTCCCAACTCGAGTCTATTTTGCTGCCTACTATACAATATCCTTTTTTTTTCCTTTTTCTGTTGTTCCTTTTCTATATCCAAACGAATGACTGTTCCGAAAAATCGAGCTAAGAAAAAGTGCATACCAAAAGAGTGTTCTATCCATGACCAACCAGAAAAACCATTCATTCATTCACAAGCGTCTGTTGTACCCCATTCACCCAAAGATCGAAGTCCCAAGAGGGGGATTGTCGAGTTTTCCGTTCCGATGTATACAAAGCAGAAGTCGTCGTGGCCAACCACGCTATGAGAGAGAGTAGAAGAGTAAAGCACTACCTTCTGAGCCAACTCGCCGATTCGAGCCGCGTCAAGCGAAGGCACGCCGTGGAATGTATCGTGATGCTATGCACGTGTGTGCATTTAGCAGCCAATGTCGAAGGCGACGAAGGTCTGACCGTTGGTAGGAGCGGGCAGGCTGGAAGCCGGGACGTTGAAGAGGCGGCACTGGACCGGCTCGTTGGCGGAGGGCTTGCCGAACTCGATGGCCTGGCATCCAGTGGTCTGCTTGCAGAGAGCCAAGCAGGCGTCCTGGGTGGTGATGTCCTCACGGCTCAGGAGAGGGGTGGGGCTGCTGGTCGCGGGGCCGGCGGGGGCGGCGCCGCAGACGTTGGCACGCTTCTTGGGCTGCTGGCTACCGTTGCTGTTGTTGCTGCCAGTGTTGGCGTTGCCGGTGTTGGCACCAGTGTTGGAGCCTGTGTTGCCGTTGTTGGCGCCGGTGTTGGTCTGGGTAGGAGCAACGGTGGGGACGCTGGTGCAAGCCTTGTCAAAGACCATCAAGTTGGTGTTGGACTGCTTGGGAACCTGAGAAGCCGGGACGGCGTAGAGGTAGCAGAGAGGGGTGGTGCCGGAGGGGGGAAGGCCGAAGACGAAGGACTGGCAGCCAGAGTCGGCCTCGCAAAGCTTCTGGCAGGCGTCCGCGGTGGCGGCGGCGGGCTGGGAGCGGGGCTCGACACTGGCGGTGGTAGGGCCGGAGGGGGCGGAGTTGCAGACATCGCGGATGGCGAGGGGACCGGCCTGAGCGGCGGCGGCGAAGGCAATGATGGTGGCGATGGTGAACTGCATTTTGATTGTTGGGGGTGGTTGGTAGTGGTTCTTGAAAAAGAAGTGTGAAGACTGAAGTGTAGTAGAGCGAAAGTGGTGCTGAGAAAGCGAAAGATAGAAGAGTGAGAGATGCTTGAGAGTGATTGAAGATTGAACTGGTTGTTGGTGGTGAGGAGAAAGAGAAAGGTTTTGATTTGGACGGGACAAAGGTCTTCTTTTATGGTCAAGTTGAGCTCTGCGTTTCGAAGGCTTCTCGACTCCCTTTCCTGAGCCTGACTAGACACTCGACTGACGATCTACGATAGACTGGGTACGTCAATGGAGAGTCTTACGACGCATTGCACGAGCGTCTTACACAGCCAGTCTCCGGAACGCGTGGTGGGTGAAAGTTGATGATCGACGTCCCGGATGTCACTCTGTCGACGTTGATGCCCTCGTCATCGCCGGGCTGGGTCCAAGGAACGGCCTTCGAGAACCAGTGAGAAGGTCTCTTGCCGTCCCATGTTCGCTTCGCTAACAGACTTTGGCAGTATGTTTGGCCATACCACAGCCTCATGAGATGGCAGGTTTAACCCGCGATGTGGGCGAACAACCTGGACGTTTCAAACCGTTCGTCCGAGGCATCT